CTCTTGTGAATAGCTTCCAGATTGGCGAGTTGTGACAAGTGTTGCCCTCCAGACCGTGACAGGAGTGAACTATCAATCCCACCTCCACGGTTTCATGCGAGCGGGGCACGTGTTTCTCGTGAAGCTTCCGATCGGGGGGCAAGAGCTTCTCCGCTGGATACCCTGCTGGTATGCCTGGCGGAACTCGATAGATCTCCATTTTTTCTGGCTTCGAACGAATCAACATGGCAACTGACAAGCTAAACAAATGCTGCAGACAACAACCCGGCGTTTCAACAAACCACCACAAGCATGAAATGGAAACATTGAAAACCTGACGTGTGGTTATGTGGGTCACCTAATTCCCCTCCTCTTCTTCATTTCGCTAGCCTCCTGAGCCTTCTCCACAACATGGGCCGCGGTAGTATAATTTGCGTGGTAGACTAAGATTTAAAGAAAATGCCGCTAGAAATCGGGCAGCAACCAGAATTGCTGCCGGCCCTTGCTTCCAACGAAATCCACGGATAGTACGAGGGGGTCCATTCTCCTTTGCTTCTCCGCCAGATCTCAAGGGCGTCATTCGCACCCTGACCGCCTGCCTTGCATGTCCCAGGAGGATACCTGGTTGTGTGGCTGAACTGATTCTTGCCAATACGGCAGGTCAGAATGTCATACCAAGTCATACCTTAAATGAAAACGCAACAAATGATCTTCACGAATGAGTCATGAGTCCCGCATCATGTATAATATTGTATAACTATACGTCTTTTTCCGGATCTTCCTTGGAAAACAATTCCACCGCCCAAAGCCAAATGTCCATGGTACGGGATCCTTCAGCTCATTGTCCTCGTTTTCCTCTACGATGTTCAACGCGGCAGCGAAGTCGAAGTTGTGGCCACCTGGCGAAGCGGGAATCCGCGGCGAACGTCCCTCCGTTCAGAAGTCGAAGTGCCCAGTGATGGGCGGCTGGGACAGCTTAGGGCTGGATGCTCGAAATCTACCAGAGGAGTTTCGGTTCTCAAAGCATGCATCTTCGCACCATCCATACGAGCAGGCTTGAAGGCGGGCTGAAGCGTCGGGTGTCTTGACGAGGAGCAGCCCATAGCGTGAACGAGGCCCTGTTCCAATGAACGAGTCTCGCCCAATCTAACTCTACATACAAGAGCTGAGCCGAAACGATGGAGAGACCGCCTACACAATGCAGGTCAATCCCCACTCCTGAACCTTCTTGTGGCTTTCTTGCTGATGAAAAGGAGGAAGTGGAATGAATTAGTGACGACCTTTGGTGATGTTGCTCGGAAAGAGCACTGGAGCACTTCTCTGAATCAAGAGCTTGGTACCCATACAAAAGGCATTAGCACTTCCACGGTGGGTCGGTTTGGACCTCCTGGTAACGGAATGGATAGACAAAAAGATGAAAAAAAGAAGCTCAGCATGGGTTTAACACTCAAATTTGTCTTCGACCTTACAACCTTCAATACCTTTTGGCTGACTATCAGACTGAGCGTCACTATCCAAAAGCTAGGCATTTGGCTCAACAGTTGGGTCTCTGCACTGCGATAAACCCGATGTGTACTGTAATAAGCCAATCATCCCGACACCAACGGAATCTCGTTGAGATGAGATTCAACGGAGGAAGATTAGATTCCGTTGAGCTCGTTTTGCTGAAAGATTCTCGCTTGGAGGTCATTGGGATCTGGTTCATCACAGCCGATTGGAGAGCGACTGGTGACAAGTATTTCAGATTTGCAGAGGGTTTTCTCGCCAAATGACCATCCCTGATCTATTTCAGCTGATGCGCCAATCAAAACTGAACAAAAACAATAATTGCATTCTAGTGCATCGACCCTGAAATGCGCTCTGAAATGTTGAAACCGGGAAGTCCCATCAAGTCCCTGATTGAAAGCTAGCTTCTCAGCCAAAAATCGGCCACCTTAACCATCTTCACCTGCCTTTTTGCCCAGGACACCCGAAAAAAGATCCCGAAGGATCCTGAAAGGACCAACAAGGGCGCTATTAGGTGGAGGCCATTGCTACTAGGAGCAAGAAGCTGCTAGGTTGGAGGATGTTGGAGGCCATCCTAGGGTGGAGGCCATCGCCAGGCCGGAGCTCCGCGTCCCCCCCGCGCCTCAGAGGGCTCCAAGTCCTGGGCAAGCGGATTCGAAAAAGTATGTCAGAGACTCGGTTCTTCTGGTCTTCGTTTTCCTGTTGTTTTCTTTTGACCTTCCTTCCTCCCTTTCCATTTTTTTCCTGCTGTGTTGGCGGTGGTACTGTCAACTGGACATGCCCATTAAGACGACCCTGATGATGAGCTTTGGCATGGCTTTCTTCCATTGAACCAACAGGTGTCAAATGGACAGAATGTCAAAAATACATTTCAAGCCATTGGAATTGGTGACTTCTGCTACTCGCTCTTGACTCTGGTGAGCTCAGGTTGTATGCCGTCTCCCCGACATCCGATCTGAGCGTTTCCTCACACGGTTGTTGGGAAAAAGATGGAAGTTCCCATCATCGAATTAGGAACAAGAAGCTATTAGGGGCTCCTGGCCTTACTACTAGGAGCAAGAAGCTATTAGGGGCTCCTGGCCTTACTACTAGGAGCAAGAAGCTACTAGGGGCTCCTGACATCGCTACTAGGAGCAAGGACGCTATTAGTAGCTTTTAGGATAGACAACCGATTCGCCAAAGCATCTCCCCATCCGGCCTCGGGTGCGAGTCGTCGCTTCCTGACACAGGCGGCAAGAACATCGCCACACGCAAACTGAGATGAACTGTAGCTGTAAGTTGTACCAAACAAGTATGTGTCTAAAAGAACGATGTTGGTCAAGAATTGGTGAGCTGGTCATACCTTGACTTGTTCTCTTTAAACCCTAAGGATCTCTCGATAGAATATCTAAAGGGATCTGTAGCTACCTCGAACACCCCTACGACACTGCAGGTTTGAGGGGCAGCTGTGGGCAAAGCAAACATTAGGAACAAAAGCATACTGGGCTAGTTGGACAATATGGAATGTGTGTGTGTTCTGCAGAATGGTCCTGCCAGAGATCAAAAATAGAACTCCCAAATAGTGAAAATGAAGCTATGTTGCTCTCGGGTTTGCCTCATTATGGAAGCTCTTTCCTCGGGAATCTTTTTGACAAGGACCGTAAACGGAGTATTTTGAGTGCCTCAGTGCTCTCTGCCATCCACCCTTCAGTTTCGCAGCCACCGGCACCAGCCCAGCCCGTGCCTGGTAGAGCCTGCCGCTCTCGAGTTGTTCAAGCAACAACTCGAGTTGTGCAAAAGTGCAAAAGCAGGCAAAAGGAATATAGCAGGAGGCAGTGGTCATACTTCAAGCAGCCACTAGCGACCTTTTCCTCAAGCTGATCACCTGTTTCGGGGACCAGTGATCGACACATGGCATCTGTGATAGCATCTGGGCAGCAGCAGTTGGGCCTGTTCGGTGTTTTGGAAAACACCAAACTAAGAGGTTGAAAGGGAAAATGCTTGGACCCTTTTAACATGGTTCAAAGGGATTATTTATTTGTATAGGCATGTTTGGGCCATTACTGAAACATCATTTGTCGTATGTCACGAGCTTACGAGGAGACTTGAGAAGTAAGTCTACACATTGACCCGGTTGGATATTCAAACCTGTGGCCTTTTGCCAAAGCGCAATCGCAAAAGTGCAGAAAAGAAAAAGAAAAGAACGAGCAAAACAATCACCAATCAACTGACCAATAAATCAACGCACTGGCCAACTTTCCCCAACTACAGCACCAATCTCGGAAAAACAAAAAATAAAAACATCAAAACTCCAGTGACATCAATAAATGCCACGCCCAGCCCAGCCTGATGAGTGCCCATGAAAGGGCCTGGCACGACTTGTTGCCCTGTTTCTCGTCGGGAGCCAAAAAGAGCATTTCGACACGCCAATCCTTTGAACGTGTTGGCCAAAACCTGTTGACTTCATAGGGAGTTGCCCAAAAAAGGGTTCACCCATCGAAGCGGTTCCAAGGCTGTCACCGGTGTTCTGTCACAACTGCCCAAAACGGAAAGAAGATGTACCTTGTAGACCCTGGATCAATCGAAAACCCGTCTCAGGAGGTCTTACAATCCAAATGTTGTTTGCTCGAGAGTCTACATTATCATGAAGTGAAATAACATGAAATAACCGTCAACCATCTGAACCACTGGCAGTCACTGGCACCCCCTTTTCGGGCGCTCAAGCTCCCGCTAGCCCAGCGGCGCTGGTAGAAGAGTGGCGCCTCCCAAGTGTCTTGTTGTCGGTGAAAAGAATAGTAAGATACCCTATATTGTATATACATCTTTAAACTTGTAGACCCTATGTACATCCCTTTTTCTTTAAGTGAAAAGAAAAAGATATAACTTTAAAAATAGACTCCAAGAAACCTAGTAGCGATGGCCTCCAACCTACTAGCAATGGCCTCCAAGGAAAAAGACACTATGTCACACGTGACCGGTAAGGGATTGTTCGAAAGGGTCGACCGCTCGACAAACAGAAGTGAAGAAGTGAAGATGTGTCTAAGACATCCACACTCAAAAAGAATTCAATGGAAGCTCTTCATCTCTAATCTGTCTGTGCGTTGCACAGGGAAATCATCACGATCATTCATTAAAACTGGAACATGAACTCTCGGTTCATAGGGGACCAATGGCAAGGCTTCTGAGAGCTCAAAAAAATCAATAGAACCCTTCAGGCTGGAACACTATGATTGTTGGTATCTTGGGAATGCCCCTGGCATCTGACACATTGTCCTGAGCAAACAATGCACCAAAGGAATTCATGGCATTCCTGGTAGGTGTTCACACTATGAATGTGGGCGCTTTTTGGCAAACCAAGATGTTTGTGGAACTCCATTCACTTTGGAAACTGGGAGTCGCCCCAGCCTAAGCCACTTCCAATCCCCACCTCCAGGGCGTCCAGGTGGCTCGCAGGAGTTGATCTGTCGCCCCCATCCGCGCGGTCGACGCACGGTCTACGCACCAAGCCAAGCACCGCGTCCATGGCGTCCCGCGGTCTACGGCGGACGACGCAATTCATGTAGCAAATCCTGCAGATCCGTCAGCGAAGGGCTGCGCCTGGACGGGGAGGGCTGCGAGCCAGGCCGGGCCCACCAGATGACCCCTTCAAATGTACGACAGCAACCAACAATCCAGAAAGCTCATCCACCCTTGAAAAGGGACCAAAACAAGCCATCAATCTCCAATCCCGAAGATCAGACAGGACAGTGACAGCTACATTTAAAAAAAAGAACTTACTGCAGACATAGTTTAGGTTTTTAAGTTGAGGATTTGAGGTTTAGGGGCGACTTGGACGTACTGTTAATGAGGATTCCAGAACAGTTCTGCGCCTCTGACTCTTGTTTCCCACCCTGTGGTCTACAGGAGCTGGTTTTGAGGTGAACATGGGTCTATATAGAAACTGATTTGGCGCCGGTCCCTTGAACATGTCACAAGCCCGAATATAGAATCCGGCCAAATTGGCAACCCAAAACTTGGCAACACTAAATATTCAATATCTTCGCAAAGCGCACAGTGCACGTTTTGAGTTACAAAAAATGGTCTACGACAACCCACGCTGCACTTAAAATGTCACCTGCTTTCGTACAGCCTTGACTCGACCCAGTAAGCTTTCCAGAAGCTCAACTTCCCGGGGAAACAAGAACAAACCGGACCGCTAAGGGCAATTCATTGTGGCGCAGAAGCTGTGGCTCGGCCGTGGTGGTTCCCACCCAGAGCAACGGATCGCCGTTGCCTGAAGGACCTCACGTGCAGCGCCGGTCCGGCTGACGCTTCGCCCTCCACGAGATGGAAAAAGCCATGAAGCTGCTGGGCACGCCGAGCCAAGCGGTTCGGATCGTCCTCCAAGCGAAGAGAGCATGTGAAAAAGGATCTTGGAAAAAACCGTTCCCTATAGTTACATTTACATCCTGATATATCGCCGCCAAGGCGGCATATCGCCGACTCTCTGCGGTCCAAGCGCGGCACGGATGGCAAATAAGCCATAAATATAAGGGGACTCCCTAGCCCATCCCACTTATTTATATACTTTCCAAATGGAAGGTCACGAGCTTTGCGACGCCACATGATGCCCCCCGAGCTGCGGTTCTCCTGACCGAGGACTTCCTGCAACAGCGGCGCTTGCAGCAAAGCTTCGCAACCTTGCAGAGTGCGCCAGCCGTGGTCATGACGCATGTTTGACAACTACAAATCACAAAGGGACCCTTGGCAAAATCAGGAGTCAGGCTCTAGTCGGCCTACTCTATTGGAGATTCGGCCGTGTACTTCATGTCCACACTGATGTCAAAGTCAACAAACCCATTGAACACCAACACACATCAGAAGTCCAACGCCAAGTCACAAGATTGCCACAAACAAACCCCTCAAAAAGGTAGCCAAGTGTTTCACCTCCCAGTGGTCGCACTCCCCAGTCCAAGGCACCAACATGCACACGGGGCCTGTTCAATGGGCCCATCCATCCAGCATGTTCACCCAACGGTCCACCGTCTACCGTGCTCCACCCTGCTCCACCGTCGTGCACGGGTCTCCGCACTCCCTTGGCCGTCGGAGAGTTGAAGTCTGAGGCCCGGCGGCTCAGCCTGATCAATGGCACCAGAGGAAAGGTCTACACATATTCTAAAGGTGACATGGAGACAAGGAAACTTGTTGAAAATTCTGAAGTATGACCTCCAGAACCGTCTTCCACGGTTTTCTCTTTGTATGAATGTGTAAGCGTTCTGAGCCAAGTAGATCTAACCGAACAAATGTGTCAAAGTTTTTGTGATACGATTCATCCTCTTTAGGAATTCCTTGCACCCCACTCCTCCCTCAGATCCCTTCGAGCGGCTGAATAAGCTGCACTCACCACATAAAACCGAAGTCTCACCTGGAATCGCACGGGAACACTCATCCAAAACCCACTTCAATTGGAACACACCTTGCAAAATCGCTGTGGCTTACCCCTTAGCCGCCTCAGCCCTTCAACAGTGCTGGGATGTACCGGGTGAATCCGCAAGATCAAACTGTTAATCTTGGCGGTGGATAGCGCAAGTAGCTCCGCCTGCTGTTGATAGTGAATGAAATGATAAAACAAGAAATTCAGAGACAAACCGTTCAGCACCTCTCGTGCAGGTCGGGGCCGCTTGCCATCTGAAACTGATGGCTGTTCAGCAGCCACCATCTGCGGAGCGGCTGCCATCTGCTCAGGCGAAGCTGCAATCTGCTGACCAGGGGCCACCAATTGCTCTAGAGCAGCAGCTTGAGGAGGAGCCACCAATTGCTGTGGAGCAGGAGAAGCAGCAGCTATTTGAGGAGCAGCAGCCATCTGTTGATTAGTAGCCACCACTTGCTGTGGAACACCAGCTGTTGGAGAAGCAGCAGCTACAGGAGGAGCAGCCATTTGCTGAGGGGCAGGTGCTGAAGCCACATGCCGAGGTGCAAGTGACGCCTCAGTTTCCGAGGGCAGCTGTCCCCCCGGCGGGAGGCAAATACATTGCAAGCCACGTGGCAAGCAAACACGTGCAAAACAAGTGCATGATCCCAAACCACACCAGCCTTCCATCAGCTCTATGTCTCATGAACAAAGAGTGGGGTCTACGGCGCATCACTGGTCGTGCCCACTGGTCTGACGCGAGACTGAACATGGCATGAACGAGGGTCGTTCCCCATATCGTTCCCCGTTACGCAACACGGACATGGGGATGACTGTCGCGTGGCTTTGGATGTGATGTTCCTCAGCAGCTGACTCGCATTTCGGTGGTGGACCCCCTCACTTCAAATGGTGCTCCTTCACCGATTTCACGAATACTCTGACCATCCACGGTCCAACCGTCCACTCCTTTTTACAGGGCGCAATGGGAGCATCTTCAGAGCTCACATAGAAGGTTTCCAGATGCTCCGGCTCCAACCTCGCGGTTTTCTCTCGCTCTCCCGCCGCGAGTCTAACCGCCGAGTCTGGAGTCTTTCTCGAGACCATCTCCCAGAGTACTCTGGGCCAGGCAGGGCGCCGGCGTTCTTGGAAGAAAAAAACACGTGAAGTGCTAACTGAGGACCCTCCCCCAATTATTTGTTCATTTTTGTGGAGGGGTCATGGTCTTCTTCAGGGTCCATGGATGTCCGTGGTGTCTGTGAAGGTCTGTGGAGATTGAGCTGAAGTGGTGCTCACCAATGCTTGGAGAAAGCTGCTCGAGTCTTCAGGAAAACAGACTTGATGGTGTCATATGGTGTCCAATGTGGGAAAGGAATCAAGAAGGAGGTGTGTTTGCTTCTGCATCATCTGCCAACACAACTGCTTGTAACAACTTGCGCTGTCGGGGACCCCACGACACACACCCGCGTCTGAGGGAAAACAGCACTGACAGACCGTCCCCCGTCCCAGCACCGACAGGCTGGTGGCGTAAATCGTTGCCCATCCGACTGCCCGTGCACCGGGCTTGGACGTTCGTCAGCTCTCGATGTGCGTCGATCGCCCGTGCGACGGGGCCGGCCGGGGTGTAGACTCGCACCGAGTCGACAGCTGTTTCCTGGTTGACCGCACTCCCCCAACGTCTCGTCTTCTTGTGTCTGAAGTGCCGGAAGATCAGAGGTACTGCCGGAGGTTCTCCACCCCAGATACTTGACAAGCTTCCTGCCTTCAGAATCCACTTTGGTCCAAGTCTCAGCCTTGATCAGGGCCTGAGAATCCGAGTTCCAACATGTTCCAACATTTATTCCAACTTCCTTCCCTCTCCTGCTTGCCAGAAGACAATAGCAAGCCGCGCCGTAGCAGAGGCCTGTTTCCTCAGCGCCGTTGTGGATGTGAAGTGAGAAACCGCGGTAGGGCCATCAGGTGTGGCTTGGGTGAATGCTGGCACACCAACGAAGGGGACTCCAACGAAACCGGCCAAATCCCCAGCTTCCGGATCTGGGAATGGCAATGGAATGTCACAACGGTTGAACGGAAGCATGCCCGGTCTTTTTCAATCTCTACCACATCGTCCCTTGGTGTTGCCAAGCCTTTCGAATGAACAAAAGGTCACTCACAATCGCAGAAGAAGAAAACCCAGAGCACATAATGTTTCCTAGATGCTCATTCCACCCAACAAAGCGAACAATGGAGTCTCAGTCGGCCTAATTACAACAGACTCTCAAGTGGCTTTGTGGAGGATGATTTGTCGGAGTCAAAAAAGGCAGGTTTTCATCTTAGAACTGTGGTCTCTGAGCTCATTCCAGGCTGTTTGCAACCATGATTCCCAGCATCACCTTTGTGCCCGGCACCGCTTTGCGCAGACACGCAATGGGCTTCCGCTCGATGCCACAAATCGCCTGCGCCCCGTCCGTGAAGCCTCGGTCGAAAAATTCCGCAGCCAGGCTCTGTGCTCATTGAGCGGAAAGAGTTGAATTACTTTACTTCAAAATTCCCCACCCTCAAAGAATTGGTCTTCACAAGAGAAAAGCGGTTCGGCGCGAAAAGGATTCTTTATTGAAAACAAAACCACACATCGAATACTTACTTGTGAGGTTTCTGAACTTCGATATTTTAATGCCTGGCAACCCCGCATCCCTGCCAAGTCAACTTGTGGTGGATATGCTGTGGAACTGGTACTTGGGAGCACTCTGGTGCATGTGCTGGTGTGAAGGCTACACTGGGCTACTCGGGGCCACTCTGGTGGATGTGCTGTGTAAGGGCTACTCTGGGCCACTGTGGGCCACTCTGGTGGATGTGCTGTGTTCTTTGGGTTGCTCTGAGCTACGCTGGGACCACTCTGGTGGATGTGCAGAAGTAGCGAGTCTACTGAAGTCCAAAGTTCTTAAAATCTAACAGCCCCACAGTCCTACGGGTGGGGAAAAAACTGCTTTGATAAGTACATTACAAGTCTACAACTATCCTGCGATCTCTTTGGTAAATGTGCTGTGGCGAAGCTAAGTTGCGCTACTAAAAACTGTGGTTGCTGTGGACAAGCTAAGTTGAACTACTTAGAAATCAGTTTGTGAATGTGCTGTGGAAGAGCTAGGCAGCTAGGTTTAGCTACTCAGGGATCAGTTTGGTGAATGTGGTGTGAATACTCAGAGGTCATTTTGGTGAATGTGCTGTGGAAGTGCTACGTTGAATTACTCAGGGATTACTTTGGTGAACAGGGATCAGTTTGGCGAGCGTGCTGTGAAAGAGCCACTTTGGGCTAGTGCTGTGGAAAAGCTAGCTTGAAAACTCAGGGATCACTCTGGGGAACGTGCTGTGGAAGAGCTACTTTGGGCTACTCCGGGATCTCTTTGGTGAACATGCTGTGGAAGTGCTGCGTTGAACTACTCAGGGATCACTTTGGTGAGTGCGCTATGGAAGAACTGCTTTGGGCTACTCAGGGATTACTTTGGCGAGTGTGGTGTGGAAGAGCTA